GTTAGACTTGAAATACAACAGGTTGCAGATTCCTAGGATAGCCTCCTCATGTAACGAGACCTGAAGGGCTGCCACGCTGCAGCGAGGCTCCCTTCACCTGTGTGTGAAGAAAGGACACGTGCTGAGAAGCCAAGATTTTCGAGTATGTCATTAAAAAAAAAAAAAAAAAAAAAAAAAAAAGACAAACAACAAGCACAATGGCAACTCCCTATAAGCATCTCGTAAGAACTGGGCCTCATTTATTTGTTCACGCTGCCAGAGCTTTGTTTCTTACCATACAACTTCTGTGCTAAGAAAGAAATGCTTATAGCAACGGTATGGGGGGAAAAAAAAGGTTTGTGTCTAGGGCATGGAGAGGAACATGCAGGGCAGTGAACAGAGAAGAAAGAAACCTGTGTATAAACAACAAAAGCCACAGAGCTGTTCTACTGGAAACATGTGGATAAGCACACATCCTCTTTCAAATCCAGCTGCACCTGAGGTCACTGCTCCTCACATTCCCTCCAAAGCTGTTCTGCTACCTCTGATGTGTCTGCAAAAAAAAACCTTAGCTAGCAAACATCTACAACATAAGCTATAGAGAACTGCATTACTCCTTGTAGAGAATGCCCCTGTCTTAATTAGGATGTGTAAAAAGTTGTTCAACAGGAAAAGGAACTGCTCCCTACAACATCAGTAATGCCATTTCTGGGACACCCTGCCCAATTTTAGGGCCTGTGTTGGAAAGATGTTAAAGTTCACACAAAACTGCACCAGGATAGAAAATGAAGTGTGTTCTGAGAATTTATAGAAACAAGCATATTCTACTGTACTAAGTGTATTGGTACTTGCAAGAATTTTTTTTTTTTTTTTTTTATTTTTTTTTTTTTTTGTGATAATACACTATACTGGTGGTTTATCCATAGAAATAATTATGAACTGTGTCAATTGGACAAATTCTAAATAGCTTTCTGAAGAGCCAGCTGGCGAGGTGTCATCAGACATCTAATAAAGTTTTCCATTGCTGAGAGGACCTGTCATATTAAGGTGGCAGGGACTATATAGACTGGTGGAAAAATGCATTTGAACATAATGTACTAAATACATGATCTCACAAAATGTTTGTTGAAAAGAAAGCCGTAGTTGAACTATTTTAGATTCTTCTGCTTCTATTTCATTAAGTTGGTCTGACACAAAATACTTACGATCCACAACAGCCAGAACTTTTGTTGCCATCTTGATTTTTTTAAATATATTTCAAGCATTCAAATCTTGTTTTTCGTACACATTTTTTCACGTAACCAGAGTCCATGTCTAATCATAAAACTATTTAAGTAAAGGCTTTACGTATTTTGCTTAGCTCCTTTCACTGAGGTTTTCAAAACATACACAAGGTTTATCCCATCACTCCCCATCTGTAAAACTGAGAAAGAAGGTGTGGGAAAGAAACAAAAGTAATTAAACTGTTTTTCACAGTTACACAAACTATGCGACAGTTATCGGTCAGATACACATACACATGTCTGTTTTATTACAATTAAAATATGAAGAAATAAGCTGATAGTTTGTTCAGCTTCTTACTGTAGTTTTGTGAAGTTTGAAGGAATCAAACTTAATAAGCAACAAAATTCTTCAGTCGAGGAGTGTGTAATTATCAGGTTATTGTTACAGGTTAATTAAAGCATGTGTTCATCAACAGTTATACAGTGATGCATTTCCATTGCACTTAGAAGCAAACCAGAAGAAAAGCACAGAATATTCAGTTATTGCTAAAAAAAGAAAAAAATCAAGCTATGATGACTAAGCATCAATATTATATAATCCCTAATTAGTTTTTTCGTGATGCATCACTATCAGGTAGCAGCTGAGGAGTCAGTGCAATGGGGTACATTCAGTATTAAACTGCTTAGGAAGGTTTTCTTCTGTTCCGCATTGCTCAGTTTCACAAATGTTATTTCATATGATTTTTGAACTGTATATATATATGTGAATACAAAATACTGATATTTTAATACATAGTATTTTAATAAAAATATTTGTATTATTTTTTAAAAAATCAAATAGAAATAGATGGAAGTCACACAGCTGCTAAAATTCTTCTTTAGACTGTGAGATTCCTGCATAGACTGAAAAGGAGACCTTTGGCTGGATTCCTGCTTTGTAAGCCTTTGTGGACATTTTAATCTGAACTTTTCATTTTTCATGAAAACTGTAGATTCAGTCAGATATTTTCTTCAGATGATTTTGTATAGACCTTTGTCATAGTCTGAGCACGAGCACTGGGAGTACTTGGCATAATGATGCTACAAGCATTAAGCATGCAGTGTAGTCCAGCTGAAATTACTGCAAAGGCACAAGATTGTCCAGTGAGATAAGAATTTTTTGAAGAGATGCGTATAAATGCAGTAATAAGATAAAATTACACTGAAGATAGAGTTAGCTCATTTACAGAACGTCACCTCAGTGCAGGCTACCATTTTCTTTCTCACCCTCAACCACCAACTTTTCCTCTCTTTTCAATAAAAGCTTTGGTCCTTGTTTACAAAACTGGCTGAAGACTATGATTCATGTCTCAGTCAGCCCAGGCAGTGTGTCATCAGGCAGTTGTGAAATACAATACTAAATGGAGTATGCAGCTAAAGCAAAAACAAACAGAAACGCTCTAGCTTGTGTTGTAGATTAATTCCAGCTGCTAGCTGCGCCAGCACACCTCCACAATTGCATAGCACTCACTAAATTCAGCTCTCCTTCCTCATTGAGTCAGACTGTAATGAAAGTTTGGTGTTAAAAGTGCCATGCTTGGCTTCCAGCAAGGTGCACCTCTGTCACTATTCTACTACGTATTAAACTCAATTATGACTTTTTATTATGGTCCCCTAGTTTCTTTGGAAAAAATCTAATAATCACACTGGAGAAAGGTATATAAGTACTTTGAAACACAGCTTCTGACCATCTTTTACAGTTACATATTGCATTTTTTCTCATTATTTTAAAAGTCTAGATGTCTGTTGCTTAAGAAATGGCAATTACCCCTGTTATTACTGCATTCAGTAAGACGTTTAATAGATATTTTAACCAATTTCTTATTTAAGGAAGCACTGGCTTAAAAATTCTTCTAGTCTTAAAAATTCCTTCTAGTCTCTACCCTTATTTTCACTGTCTTGTTTTCTGAAAACATTTTCTCTTAAGCACGGTATTTACAGAGTTGTTTCTAAAATTATATCTGTATTTGTTCTCAGCCATTTAAACAAACTTTACAAGGCATTTTTGAGTTATATGAGCATGCAAATGGACCCTTTTGGAAAAATTAGACCACTTTGGTAGCATGAAACACTGAAAAGAAGCTGTATTTTAAATAATGAATTTACTTTGGTATAAATTTCTTTCCAGAATTGGAATTGGGTTATTTGAGGAAAAATAATTTTATAGTTTTACCAAATGTTTTTTAATGTATGACTTCTGCTTCCTCCAAAGACAAATAACGCATGGCTCTTGTTTTTCCATCTTTCTTATTTTCTTCCTCTTCTCTCAGTGTTGAGCTGTTTGTTTTGGAGGATTGTTAGGTGTTGGGCTTTTTGTTTGTTTGTTTTGTTGGCTGGTTTTTGTTTTTTTGTCCTCATCTTTTACGTGTGTCATCTTTTAATCTCCCATATGCAGCTGTCGTGGTACTGCTGATACAACGCACAGCACTCAGTTCCTCTGCTTCCAACCCACACTCACAGTGTGGAGAGGTGTGTAAAAATATTCTAAAAAAAGCCTGAATAATCTCATCCATTAGGGCAACTATCCAAGAACATATTTACATTCCAAGACTAATTTTTAATAGGACTGTAAAATGTAGTAAATAAAATGTCTAAAGTAATAGATTGAATTGTAGAGAAGGAAAGGAATATTTTCAGATGTCCTCAAGAGAGGAAAATGCAATTTTTTTTTTAATCTATATTAGCTAATCCCTGGGAAGGAAAAAGTTAGTAAGGGAAAATTTAATCTGTAATTTGTCACTGTAGAATTACATTTCATTTCAGTTAGCTGAAGTCTGTGAATACTCTTCCTACTGAGTATAAGACTATACAATTGTTAATCTTATGCACATAGAAATAAAGGGAGATAGAAAGGTGGAATGTCAGTGGAAAGTGAAAAAAAGACATTGCTGACAGGAAAACACAAAAAACTTTGCTGTGTATAACATGCTAGTTTCAATATTAAAACATAAACTAACATGTTATCTAGTAATTAAGTGAATAATTAGTACTTCTATGAACTTCAATCGAAGATTGCGGACGCTTCTTCATTCAGCCATCATAAGACTTTTGGAACTCCTGTTCTTCTCCTTTGACAGCTTATGGCTACACTTGGCCTTCTTCCCTCTCCTTAATGATATGGTCTTGGACCCAACCTCATTCAGGTAATCCTTCCAAAGACAAAAAGTTTGTCCAAGAACATAGAAATCCTAGATACTACTGAGTGCATCTATATTAAAGTTCCAGAAGAACTGTAATGTTACCTGCATTCCTGTTGTCTATGTAGCTCTGCTTGGACAAGTCCAGCCTCCTACTTTCTGGCAGTCAGCCACACCCACGGTACAGGAGCAGGCTGTGTTTTAGTGGGTAGCATAGACTGGCTCTCCATTTTACACAAATAGTTAAAGCTAGTAATCTAATGGCATTATCAGTGTATTTATTTGATTGTTTCAGTCGTCGCATTCATAAATGTTGGCTAATTTATCACAGAAATAGCATTACAGCATCTTAA